GCTAGTATTACTGTCTCCACAGAACAGATGAGAAAACCGAGGTTCAAACAATCCATCCAAAATCTCCTGGGGCCAGAGTTGGAACTCTGACTGACTCTATGTCCTCTCATTCGGGGCTAGGCTCTCACTTTCCTGCCTTCCAAAACTGGTCAGGAACTAACTGCAGATTCCCAACAGGAAAGGCCACTTCTGAGCACTGGGCCTTAGAAACTGAGTCAACAACTCTGTGTGTGTGTGTGTGTGTGTGTGTGTGTGTGTGTGTGTGTGTGTTCGTTCCTGGGCATTGAACATAGGGAGCACTCTACCACTGAGCTACATCCCCAAGCTCCCAGTCCTTCTTTAAAATTTTGAGATAGGGTCTCATTATGTTGCCCAGGCTGGCCTCAGTCTTTTGATCCTCCTTCCACAGCCTCCCAAGTTGCAGGAATTACACTTGTGCACCTCTGCACCTGGCTTTGAGTCTACACCTTGTACATCCTGAAAACACAGCATAGGCCTGGCATGGTCATACRTCCTTGTAATCCCAGTGATTTGGGAGGCTGAGGCAGGAGGATCCCAAGTTCAAGTCCAGCCTTAGCAACGTAGTAAGACCCTGTCCCCCCCCCAAAAAAAAAAAGGACTGGGGATGTGGCTCAGTGGTAGGGCATGCCTGAGTTCAACCCCCAGTACTAAAACAAAACAAAACAGAGCATGGTTGTGTTCTGCTTGGTGGGAACATTACCCTAGAATTTAGCACCACACCTGGCCCATAGCAAGAGTTCAAATGGAATGCGCTAAATGAATAAATAGAACGGAAAAAAATGGGTTTGCAATAACTGCCTTCTTACAAACTTTTCTCCCCAAGGTACTGTCATTTTTATTTTACAGATGAAGGAAAACTTTTTCTTTTTTGAACTGGGGATTTAACACAGGGGTGCTCTACCTCTGAGCTACATCCCCCGTCCTTTTAAWTTTTTTTTTTTTTAAGACAGTCTCATTAAGTTGCTGTGGTGTCGCTAAGTTGCCCAGACTAACCCTTGAACTCGCCATCTTCCTGCATCACTGCGCCCGGACAGGTGAAGGAAGATTTAACAAACACAAGTAATCTCATCCTGAGAAACTTTTATGTGGAGGCTAATACGAAGACCCTCTGGAGAGAAAAGCCATGTTTAATTGTTATGGTGCCATGTATGTAAATGCAACCGCATTTTTCACAGTGCTAGAGCCGCAGTTGTTTGAGGAGGAGATGGAGGTCTGGGGTTTGTTCACTCCAAAAAAGTGGCGAGCACTCTAGCATAGTCTTTGTTCTATGTTCATATCAGAGTGTGCAGGTAAAAAGGAATCCCCTCATCTCCTTTAGCTGTGAAACTAGGCTGGGCATCAACACAGCCTCTCTTCCCCTGGAAAGCCTTCCGACTCTCCYGTCCAGGGTTAGGAACTCCCCCTACTGTCCCCACGGGCCTGTCTAAGCCATTCCAGCCCTCTGCATCTGATCTGCTGACTTATTTTACCCCCTGCAGATGGAGCCCCGACCCAGGCAGAAGCTACATCTTGTTTAGTTGAATCCCCGATGCCTAGCACAGTGTCCGGCACACAGTAGGTGCTCAATATCGATTTGTCAAATGAAGGAAAGCTCTGCCTTTTCCGAGATCTTCTCTGTTTCAGAGTTGTGTCCCTGGGGCTTTAGCTGATGGCCCTTTCTGAATGTGCCCATCCTAGGTCCCCAGCCCCTGCTGCCCATCCCTCTCCAGCCAATGACAGAAGAATGCATCAGGACTGTGCCTGCTCCCTCCATCCGTTCCTTTCCTCAGAGTCACCATGTGTCCCAGAGTGTGTAGGAGCGGGCAACCCATTTGCTCACCCTGCTTAGCCAATGATCACCCCATCTGTTGGATGTTTGCAAAAATGCAAACATTTCAACCAGCAATGGACACTCATTATTTGGAATCCCCACAGGAAATAGTACTGCCCTGGCAGGTAAGGAAACTGCGACTCAAAGAGGGCTCAGTAACTTGCTCAAGTTCATGCAGTAAAGATACGATGGAGGAAGGGAGGGACTCGGGAAGGAAGGAAGGAAGGACCGAATCAACGAAGCAATGGCAAATGCTTTAGTGACTCAGGTGCAATTTCTGCTTTCTTTCCCATAAACATTGGGGATGGGTCAATGAAACTAAAGGAGCCAAGTGGCTTTGGGGATTCCTGAGCTAAGAAAGCTGGGAACAGGAAAGAGGTGACCCTGGTARAAGCAGCTCTGAGCCACCTCCAGTTACTCAGTAACCTCAGCTTCTTGGTCCCAGGGGCAGCCTGGCCGGGCCGGGCAGCACACGCTAGTTCCCTTTGGCTACCCTTCAGGTGCTGGGCTGGTCACAGGTGACCAGAGATAGAAGGTCAAAGATTGGGCAGACTACAGACCAGTCAGGATGGGAGCTGGCGGTGCAGTATCCCCTCTGAGGCCTGGGATAGAGGGAGGAGTGAAGGGAGGAGCCCCTCACCGTGACGTCAGAGCTACCAAGATCATAGAAGGCAGGAAGGGAGGACCAAGGGTCTGGCATAAGCTGGTGATCCAAAAGGAAAATGTGGACTGAACCTCTCCACGGCATTTAGTGGTAGGTGATCCAGGGTAGACCTCCCAGGCAGCAGCCTGGCAGGGGTGTCCTTGGGGGTAGGGGGAGAGTGGACACCCTCATAACTGGTTCTTGCTCTTTGCTGGAATAGGGCTGATACTAGCTGGCACCCATGGATTGTTAAAATAGCAAGATCAAGCTGGGCATGGCTGGGCACTGTGGACATGCCCATAATCCCAGTGATCGGGAGACTGAGGCAGGAGGATGGCAAATTTGAGGCCAGCTTCAGCAACTTAATGACACACTGTCTCAAAAAGGGCTGAGGATGCAGTTCAGGGGTAGAGTGTTCCTGGGTTCAATCTCCAGTTTGGGGGTGGGGGGGACAAAGGGAGACAGCAGGTGTGACAGAAATGGAGGAAGCTAGAATCAGAGAGGTAGCACCCAGGTGCTGGGAGGGCCCAGTCCATTTCTCCCTGTTCTCTGGTTCTGCGGGTTTTCAAGACTCCGCCCCTCCTAGGTCCTGTCGAGAACCTGCTGGGACAGCCCAGAGCAAGCCGGCTTCCAAATGGGGCTCAGGACGTCTCTGGGGCAGAAGGTTAGGCCTGGGAGGAGCCCCCAAATGCTGAATCATGCTCCAAAGGCTGATGACCAGACATCCTCCCCACCGATTCTCTAGGGGGGCCGGAAAACAGCCTTCCTGCTGACCAAGGAGAGATAGAAAGTCTCCGGGGAGGGGCCACCGAGGACCAGACAGACTATTGAGCCCCTGGAAGCCAAGCTACCGAGGCTGACCCCTGCTTCCTCATGTGCCCTGGTTGGGCACTTAGGTGAGGAACACCGGAAATCAAGAATCCACTTGTCAGGCTGKGGCTGTGGCTCAGCGGTAGAGCGCTCACTTAGCATGTGCGAGGCCCCGAGTTCGATTCTCAGCACCACATAAAAATAAGTAAACAAAATAAAAATATTGTATCCAACTACAACTAAAAAGTAAATATTAAAGAAAAAAGAATCCAATTGTCCTCCAAAATCCAAGCAAGACTGGAGGCTCAAGTCCCTGAGGGGAGGAGGGGAGGGGGAGAGGTAAACTGGGGGAAGGGGCAAAGGAGAGAAAAGRAAGAGGGTCCAGAACTCCACTGTGTCACTATCCCTGCTCAAGGACATTCCTGAGAAGGGGCAGACCTCTCATGGACTGTAGGTGCCAGGGCCTCTCACCTACTTAGAGCCCTTCAGTAGCTCAGCACCCAAGGGCTGGAAGTCATGTGCTTTAGCCGGGCTTTTGAGGCCTCAGCTCCTGAACACACTTCTGTCTCTGCTGCTCTCACTTCTTGGAAATGTCCCCTCGTCCTTCTTCCCTTGCCCAGTTCCTAAGATTGTCCTTCCAGACTGCCTTCCAACATCAGCTGTGCGGCCAGCAATGCTCCATCTCCTTTCTTCTGTTATCCCACCCCTGTGGGCTCTGAGCCCCTCCCCCTAGACCCCCACAGCCTTTGCACTTCTCTGGGTCACACACCAGGAGAATCAAAGTTCAAGGCCAGCCTGGGCAATTTAGCAAGATCCTGTTTCAAAATAAAAATTTAAAAGGGGTCCGGGTGTAGCTCCATGGTAGAGCACTCCTGGGTTCAATCCCAGTAACACMCCCACACACACACCTTTCTAAGAGTCTATGTCAGGGCTGGACAGCGGCTCCTAGGGGAAGGAGCCCTCTGGTTCATTTCCGCTGCCTGTCACAGCACGCTCTCAGTAAACGTCTGCCACCTCCCTGTGGACCCCTGGGATGCAAATTCTTGCTTGTGTAAAGAGAGACTCAACTCCTAACAGAGAAGACCCTCCTTCCAGCTAGCCTCCCTCTCTCCAGCTGCAGAAGCAGCCCAGGAACTGTCACATCACGCTGGGCAGGGCCGGGAGCAGGTTTCAGTGTGCGAACCCCACCCTCAGCCTGCTGCACTGGGTGATGTTCAGATTGGGGGTGGGGAGGCAGGGGAGGCTTGGCACAGGATAAGGGACTCCATTGCCCAGCCTGGTAGATAGTCCTGCCTGGAGAGCCTGTTAATCTCCATTCTCCATCTTTGTTTTTTCCAGTAAAGATGGACCACCACCAGGTCAGCACAGCCGTGCCCTAGCGGGGCAGAACTCGGGGCGCCTTTACAAGGTCACTTCCAAGGACCTGTCCTGGCCGGAAGAACGGCAGAGTCAACTGGACCCAGAGAGAGAGGACCTGGGGGGTCCGAACACCGACCTCAAGTCCTTGCCCACCCCGGCTGCGGGATGCTCTGGCTCCGGGCTCCTACCTGGAGCCGCGGAGGGCGGGCCTCYCGGGGGCGTGGYCTCCCGGGGGCGTGGTCTCCCGGGGGTGGGGCTTCTGCCGGGCGAAACCTGCCGGGCTCCTCCCGGCACAGTCAGCCCCGAGCCGCGCGCTGCGAGTCCCGCCGGAGTTGGCGACTTCACAGCCTCTGTCCCATGGCCGGATCTCCCCGCCGCGCCGCGAGCCGGCGACTGCAGCTGCCCCTGCTGTGCCTCCTCTTCCAGGCTGTCACCATCATCCTCTTTGCCATCTTTGTCCGCTACAACCACGAAACCGACGCTGCCCGCTGGCACTGGGGCAACCACAGTTACGCGAACAATGAATTTTACTTTCGTTACCCAAGTGAGTGCGGGTGAGGGCGTGGAGGGGACCTGAAGACCCTCCACGCTCCCGGGTGTCTTGGGAGGGAGCTCTTGGGTGCTCAGATCTGTCCCTAGGTGGGCAACCCTCTCGCTGAGACGAAGGGGCCCCCGAATTGGAAATAACCCTTTCTCTAGTGCCTGCCAGGTTCCGGGTACTGTGCTGAGGATGGCACATGCCTTCCCATTTAGGCTACGAGACAAAGGTGAGGTTCAGAGAGGTTAAGTGGTCGATTCAGAGACACACAGGAAGAAGTAGGAGAGTTGGGATTTGAATCCAGATCTAAAGCCCCACTTTTAGCCATTCTCTTGCCCCACTTCCCATTTGACCTAACTGGGCTTTGTTCCAGAGAATTGGCTTGTTCTAGGGGCTTTTCCCTCACTACAGGAAAGAGAATCTAGCTGGTGGGCAGGAGGTGTGTGGGGGGGGGGGAGGGGGGGTGTTGGTGGTAGTAATGGCAGGTATTTTTAATTTATATATAATTTTCAGTTGTAGATGGACACAATACCTTTCTTTTATTTATTTGTTTTTATGTGGTGCTGAGGATTGAACCCAGCGCCTGGCACATGCTAGGTGAGCGCTCTATCACTGAGCCACAGCCCCAGCCCCATGGCAGGTATTTTGTATGAAACCTTCACACCTGGAAGCATCCAAGAGTGGTTGGGACTCGGGCGTTTCTCCCCAGGACCCCAAAATTGGCCTTTCTAAGCCAGAGAGAAAATGACATAAGCAGCTATCAGCTGACCACAGAGCAGTAACCCCAGACATGGAATGAAGGCATGGGAGGGGCGTTACCCATCACCCATCTTGTGAGTGACAGAGCTGGAACTAGGCTTAGGCATCCTAAGCTCCTGTACCACAGGCYACTTGCCTACTGACAAGGTTCAGAGGGGGCGGTTAGCCCCCCTCACCACCTAGATGGGGACGGAGCCTGTCCCTTAATGTTGGGTACCCTGCCTTGTAACTGAGGGCCTCAGCCACTTGGAAACAAGACCTGCCAGACTCCATCACAAATGCTTGAGCAGTTCTTTGAGACTCAGTTTTCCCCATCTGAGCAACAGGAAGAAGGATACCTCAGAGTGAAGGTTCTAAACTCCAACAAGCCCAGGGTGTGACAGTCTCCTATAAAAACATCCAGGCTGTTATTACCCTAMTTTCTATATGCAGTGCTGGTGGCAGGCTGTCCCCACCTCACCCTGACCCAGTCCCAGTCAAATGAAGTTCAYGATGCTGAGGATGGACAGGCTCAGGTGGAGGCTTGGACTTGGGCATGACGCACCAGACCCCCAGCCACCCTAGGCAGAAGGGGCTACAGTTCCTGACTCCACACATTTTGTCCCCAGCCTYGACTGGAAAAGATGAGCCATGGAAGCTGGGATCAAAAGCAGGGACCCGGCTGGGCTTGGTGGCACCTGTATACTCCCAGCAATTTGGGAGAATGAGGCAGGAGGATGGCAAGTTCAAGRCCAGGCTGCAGAACTTAGTGAGATCCTGTCTCAGAATAAAATAAAAAGGCTGGGGGTGTCCAGAGGTAGAGCACCCCGGTTCAATCCTCAATACTGGCGGTGGTGGTGGGGGGGAACAGGAAAGAAAACAAGGTAAACAGATGGGCCAGAAAGATGGGAGCTGGTGGGAGGAGTCTGAGGGGCTGTCTGCCATGGGCCGGCCACTTGCTTCTCCTGTAGATGTCACACAAGGCCTGGAAGCCCTGCCTGTTCCTAAGTTCTGCCTGGAATCCATCCCTTTCCCAGGCTGCTGCAGGGCTGGGCTCTTCTATGACACACCGCTGCAGAGTAGCCCCAGGATTCCTACCTCTTTTTCTGCCCCAGGTTTCCATTCTGGTGGACTTTGACCTTGCAGTGGGGGAAGGTCAGGCCTGAGGGAGGTGTGAAGTCCCTAGAGGTTGGGGCTTTGAAGAGCCGGTTCTCAGCTGTCCCAGTGTCCATGGGAAGGGGTCAGGGTCAGGGGGAGGTGTAACCACCGCTTTGATGAAAGGAAGTCCTGAGCTGCTGGTGAGCTCCAGGACTGCCAATGTCAAGGGCATGTCCACTCCCAGGGGTCTCTTTGTATCTGTAACCTGGGCCCTCAGAGCCTATCTGGTCAACCCCTCTCAGATGTGGGGAGAGAGCCTGAGATCACACAGCAAGCTACAAAAGGAGCCAGTCTAGCACCAGTTCTCTGGATCCCCGTCCACAGCCTTTCCCCAACCCTGCAGGCCTCTCAGTCCACAGGACTAAGGATGGAAAATAAGAAAGGAGTCCAGGGCCGCACAGGCCACAGAAGGAACAGGAGAAAGAAAGCAATATGGGGGCTGGGCTGGGGCTCAGCGTAGAGCGCTCGCCKAGCACTTGCGAGGCCCTGGATTCCATCCTCAGCACCACATAAAGATAAAAAAATAAAATAAAGGTATTGTGTCCACGACAACTAAAAAAATGAATATTAAAGAAAACAATATGGATGATCTGTTTTATAATTTTATTATTTTTTAATTTTAGCCAGTACAACTTTAGACACATCTGAGATCCTACCTATGGGAAGAGGGATTTAGGATAGGTGGGAGCAAGCAGGGCACCAGGACACACATGTCTATAATCCCAGCTGCAGGAGGCCGAGGCAAGAGAATTGCAAGTTCAAGGCCAGCCCAGGAAATTTAGCAAGACCTTCAGCAACTTGGGAAGACCCTGTGTCAAAATAAAAATAAAAAGGGCTGGGGACGTGGCTCAGAGGTGGAGCACCACTGGGTTCCAACAGTACCCCTCAAAAAAGGAGGGGGGAATAAGGTCATGTGACCAGGACCAGAGTGCCTTGTGACCTCTTCTGGGAGAATACAGCTCCTTGATCTCCTGGGGGCAGGTGTGGTGGAGTGGAAATGGTAGAAGTTGGCCTCCTGGGTCCTCCCTCCCTGCTCCCCACCCCCTTGTATACACCTTTTTAAATTCACACTTTATAGATGATGTCACAGAGGCTTAAGAGAGGCTAAGTGTTTTGTCCAAAGTCACAGGTCAGGGGGTGGCCAGTGGGTGGGGAAGCTGGAATTTAAGTCTGACTTTGACAGATGCTTAAGGCCCAGCTTTAACTTGTCACCTTGCCTCATCTTTGTGTCAGGAGTCACCTAGCTGGGTTGGGGAGGGGCAGTAAGGGAAGGTTGGAGAGCAATCAGTAGCTCTAGAGGCCTCTTACCTTCTCTAACCAAAGATTGCTTGGGGCTGGGTGCACACCTGTAATCCCTGCAATTTGGGAGGCTGAGGCAGGAGGATCAAAGGTTCAAGGCCAGCCTCAGCAATTTAGTGAGGCCCTAAGCAACTTAGCAAGACCCTGTCTCAAAATAGAAAATAAAGAGGGCTGGGGATGTGGCTCAGTGGTTGAGTGCCCCTGGGTTCAATTCCTGGTGGAAAAAAAAAAAAAAAGTTGCTTGGGTTAGGGAGGGTAGGCTGCACCCCACCCCACACAGAAAGGAATGTTGGGAGGCCTTATCTGTCCTCCTGCCTTCAACCGGAGTAGCCCTTCACCCACCAGAGCTCAAGGAGAAGCTGTGCCTGGAACAGCCCCCAGGGAGGGCGTTCCTTGATGTTTAGACTACAGTTGAAAGACCAAGGATCGAGTTATGATTCCAAACAAGCCTGGGTAAGGAGTTCTAAACAAGTTCTGGAGGGGTTTCTTATATGAATGTGCTGGAGCCCCGCCACCCACCCCCCATTATCTTGTTGTCCTTGGGAACAAGAACAGACATGGCCTCCTCTCTACTATTCGTACAAAGAGAAAAGAAATCAGGCTGCGAGGCTTAGGAAAACTAGGCTGGAGGCTGAGGTCTACGTGTGGCTTCCTTTTGTGGGGTTGTGAGATCTGGGTGACCTCAGGGGGGCTGGAGAAGCAGTGCAGGGTTGGGGACGTAGTGAGGCCAGGAGGTCTCCAGCCCCTCACTACCTTGGCTACCAGCATTGGCAGCCAAGCTGCAGACCTCCAGTTCCATCTCAGGCCCAACCCCCTGTTTACAAAACTATTTCTTATGCAACATTAAATATAGCACTTAAAAAAAAAAAAAAGCATAAAACCCAGGTGTGGTGGATACACCTCCCTAGCTCCCGGGAAGCTGAGGCAGGAGGATCACAAGTACCAGGCCAGCCTGGAAAACTTAGCAGGACCCTGTCTCAAAATAAAATTTAAAAAGGGCTGAAGATGTAGCTCAGTGGTAGAGCCCTTGCTTAGCATGCACAAGCGCCTGGGTTCTGTCCTAGTACTGCAAAAGAAAAAAATGAAAAAGCATAAAAGTCAGCTTCTCTCGAAGTTATTGATTGCATTATAAAATTCCATAACAATTTTCCAGCTTGTGGATACCTCTTCAGATTAAGCATACAAAAAAATTTTGTTTTTTTCTATTATAATCTAATTTTTCTATAAGAGATTTGGGGTCACTTACAACCAAAATGTGTATAAGATGAATATGCCTGATCTAAGATGTTTTGAACTTTATTATATATGGAGGGGAGGGTATCTTGGGATGTGACTCAAGTCTAAAGAAATTCCTTTGTTTCATATATACCTTTACACACATAGCATGAAGGTAATTTCATACAGTATATTTATACATAAATTTTGTGTACCTGTATTTTTGTTTTAAACCAGGGATTGAACCTAGGGGTGCTTAGCCGCTGAGCGACATCCCACCCCTTTTTATTTTTTATTTTGAGACAGGACCTCACTAGGTTGCTGAAGCTGGCTTTGAACTTTTGCTCTTCCTGCCTCAGCCTCCTGAACTGCTGGGAGGTACCACCAAGACCAGCGTGTGGCAGCATTTTGACTGTGACCCATCGGATGAGGTCATTGTGGAATTTTCCTAAAGAATATTTAAAACATTTATGATGCTCTTTCTTTTTTTTAATTTTTTTTGAGAGAGAGAGAGAGAATTTTTAATATTTATTTATTTTTTAGTTCTCGGCGGACACAACATCTTTGTTGGTATGTGGTGCTGAGGATCGAACCCGGGCCGCACGCATGCCAGGCGAGCGCGCTACCGCTTGAGCCACATCCCCAGCCCCTTGTGATGCTCTTTCTTTAGTTTTATTATTATTATTATAGCCAAAAGTATAGCTTGACATCTCCACAGACAGACTCAAGATAAAGAAAATAGGACCAGATGAGGTGAGGAAATGTCTAAGTTGCTTCAAACCCTATTTAGAAGTTGATGTGGGGAAGAGGTAACAGAACGAATTAATACTAATTACTTAATGATTATTTGTATTTCTCTTATTTTTGATATCACTGTGTATTATTTTTATTAGCTTAGCTTTTTATGCTGGTAGATACAGAATAGAAAGTGAACAGAAGAGGCCCCCGATCTTCCCGTCCGAAAACCCACTGGTACTCTGAAAGTTCAAGTCATTCATCTATAAAGTTAAAATATTCAGACTATACAAAGAAACRACCAAAAGAGTAAAATCTGGAGAACACCTGTAAACTCAGCCTCCAGGGAGGCTGAGGCAGAAGGATTGCAAAGTGAGGCCAGCCTGTCTCACACTAAAAAAATAAAAAGGGCTGGAGATGGGGCTGGGGCTGTGGCTCAGTGGCAGAGCGCTCGCCTGGCACGTGTGAGGCMCTGGGTTCGATTCTCAGCACCACATAAAAATAAATAAGTAGAATAAGGGTATTGTGAAAAAACTCTTTTTAATAAGAAGGGACTGGAGATGTAGCTCCGTGGTAGAGCCCCCCTGGGTTCAATCCCTAGTCAAAAAATAAAAAAAGTAAGCTCCTCCCTCCTCCTGTCTCCAAATCAGACCGCTCCAGGGGATTCTTTCTGTTGCTGTTGTGCGTTACAGCAGCCTTGCCCCTCCCTCAATTCCTTTTCTCTGAAGTAATCTATGTTAACAATTTAAAGCTAGTCACCAAATTATTTTTAGTTGTAGATTCTAAAGGCATAGGCATGGTGGTCGGAAATCAAGAAGGACTTACCAAAAGAGTTGAAAAGAAACCAAAGGGGAAGAGAATTTAGAGCCCTGGAGGGGCCCAGGCTGCTACAGGAAAGAGCAGGGCTCACACTGGACTTTCAACTATAAAATGAGTAGGGGCAGAGAAKGAGAAAATTCTCAGAGCAGAAAGTTCTAGTCCCTTGCTCTGACATGGGGGCATCAGGGATGGTCTGGGTCCCACTGCTCCAAGCTGGCCGGCTCTGGGCAGGTGGCTCAGGGCTGGGTGGCCCTGCCACGCCTGGGGAGTTTTATAGGCGTGACTCGGCTTCAAGGCGGCCTTGGCTGGCAGGAGCCAGGGGCAGTGGCAGGGTGGCCGATGGGTTTATGGGGGTGGCCCGGGCGCCGCGGTGCTCACCGCCCCTGGCCCTCGCAGGCTTCCAGGACGTGCACGCCATGGTGTTCGTGGGCTTCGGCTTCCTCATGGTCTTCCTGCAGCGCTACGGCTTCAGCAGCGTGGGCTTCACCTTCCTCCTGGCCGCCCTGGCCCTGCAGTGGTCCACCCTGGTGCAGGGCTTCCTGCACTCCTTCCACGGCGGCCACATCCATGTCGGCGTGGAGAGGTGGGCAGCGGTGCAGAGAGCGGCGCTCTGGGGTCCCCCTGGCGGCTCCTGCCCCAGAGACACAGTTAAGCCCTTGTSCTTGGAGGCTGGTCCCTGGCCCTGTTTCTGACCCATCAGTTGGTTTCCCCAGGTGTCCTGCCTGGTGTCCTTCCATCCCTGACCCACGACCAGCCCAGCTCACATTTTGTGGCCGCTGTGACCCAAGCGCTCCTAGGGGCAGCGATGGCCTCGCAGAAAGGGGCGGGTTGAGAGGCGCCCTGGGCTCGGTTCTGGTTCTTGGTGGGCTTCGTGGGCCAATCTGCAAGAAGGAGAGAGGCCGTCCCTTGGACCCAGGGGAGAGGTGCCTCCCGCTGGCCCTCCCGGCCGGTGCCCGAAGCCCCTCTCCCGCCCTCTCCCCCGCGCACCAGCATGATCAACGCCGACTTCTGCGCGGCCTCCGTGCTCATCTCCTTCGGGGCCGTTCTGGGCAAGACGGGGCCTGCGCAGCTGCTGCTCATGACCCTGCTGGAGGTGGCGCTGTTCGGGATCAACGAGTTCGTGCTCCTCAACCTCCTGGGGGTGAGAGTCTGCAGGAATGGGTGAGGGTGTTGGGGTGGCCAGCGCCAGGCTCTGAGCTGGGCGAGCTGCCGGGCAGGGGCGGGCTGCCTCTCCACCTGCGCTCCTCCTCCCCAGGTGAGGGATGCGGGCGGCTCCATGACTATCCACACCTTTGGAGCCTACTTCGGGCTGTTCCTGTCGAGGGTCCTCTACAGGCGCCAGCTGGAGAAGAGCAAGCACCGCCAAGGCTCCATCTACCATTCGGACCTCTTTGCCATGATTGGTGAGGCCTCCTGTGACGGATGCCATTCAGGGGCTGGTTCCAGATCCCCCTGATCTGGGATGGAGGAGACCAGCTCCAGGAGAAGTCTTAGGGTGCTGCCTAACTAAGGTCCTTGGCTTTCTAGCTGGGAACTCTTCCTGCTTGGAATCTGCTCTTTTTATTTCAGTACTGGGGATTGAACCCAAGGCTGCTCTACCACTGAGCCACATCCCCAGCCCTTCTTGTGTTTTGAGACAGGGTTTCTCTAAGTTGCTGGCCTTGAACTTGTGATCCTCCTGCCTCAACCTGCAAAGTCACTGGGATTACAGGCATGCACCAGTGCCTGTTCTTTGTCTTTGTGTGTGTGTGTGTGTGTGTGTGTGTGTGTGTGCATGCGCTCCTGGAATAGAACCCCAAGGATGCCTAACCACTGAGTCACACCCCCAGCCCTTCTTATTTTTTATTTTGAGCAGCGTTTCACTTAGTTCCTTAGGCCTTCACTACGTTGCTGAGGCTGGCCTCCAACTTGCAATCCTTCTGCCTCAGCCTCAAGAGTTGCTGGGATTACAGGCGTGCACCACCATGCCCAACTGCTCATCATTCTTAATGGTTTTATGACATTCTTAGAACTCAGACCTGGGGTACCCATCTGGCTCAGATCCATCCCAAGGGCCCCCYTTTTTTTTTGTCTTTTTTTTTTCAGTACTAGAGATTGAACCTAGGGGTTGAGCTGCACCCCCCAGTCCCGTTTATTTATTTATTTATTTTGGGGATTGAACCAAGGCACGCTTTACCACTGAGTTACCTCCCTAGTCTTTTTAATTTTTATTTTAAGACAGGGTCTCACTAAATTGCTGAGGCTGGTTTGGAATTGGGATCCTCCGACCTCGGGCTCTGAGTTGCTGGATTACAGTCATGTCCCACCATGCCCAGTTTTCCAGGGGCCTTTCTAAATCCACCTCCATCTTGCTTCAGATCTTCGAGGGCCCCCACAACCACACATTAGAAACAAGACACTCATCCTGGGATACAGCCCCCGAGTCTGCTCACTCACCCTCCCCTGTACTGGGCTCCAGCTGAGCTGCATTGGAGGGGGGTCTGGTTTCCTGCAGATCTCCACCTCTGCCTGCCCCTGCTGCTGCCTTCCACCCATGAGGGCTTTCCCCTCTAGCTTCCCTGCAAGCCCCTGCACTGTCAGGCAGGGTAGGAGGAATCTTTGTTTCCCCCAGGGAGCAGTAGGGCTGGCCTGGGGGCCCTGTAACTCTGTTCCTCTCTGTGCATTTACAAACTGCGGTCAGCAGAGGACATCCATGTTATTTTTCATAGAAGGCACTGAACAGGGCCTGCAGTGCCTATTTTTACATTAAAAAAGAGACTGAAGCGCTGGGCATGGTGCCTGTAATCCCAGTGACTCAGGGGGCTGAGACCAGAGGATTGTTAGTTCAAAGCCAGCCTCAGCAATCCCTGGTACAAAAAAAGAAAAAAAGAGATAAAAAGAAAAAAAAAAGACTTGTTTTGAGAGATTCATGCCTATGATCCCAGTAATTTAGGAAACAAGTAGGAGGATTACAAGTTCAAGGCTAGCCTGGGCAAATTAGCAAGACCCTGTCTCAAAAAAAAAAAAAAAAGGCAGGGCAGGGGTGCTAAGGATGTAGTTCAGTGGCAAAACACACCTGGGTTCAATCCCTAGTACTGAAAACAAAATATTTGTATTTTGTATTTCTTGCCCCTCTCTGGGTTTGTTGTGAAACAGAGGGCTGCAATCTCCTTGACCTTTGAGACCCAGATAAGCTTGGCCTCAAGTCCAAAGGCTACCCCAGGATTCCCAGACATTCTCAGATCTCTGCCTCCTGCCTCCTGGCTGTTAGCGCATAGGTCACTGAGGCAGGACCCTGGTCCCTGCCTCCACTGTCCCCCCAGTCTCCRTTAGAGACAGCCCATGTCAGTGTGGTCCAGTTTACCCAGGTCTGTGGGGTTGCAGGGAGCAGTTCCACCCAGCAGGCTCCTCAAGACTAAGGGACAGTCCTGAAGCCGCTTACCTGGCTGGCCCACCKTGCTGGGCCTCCGCCATCTCCCACACCTTGTCCCTTGGCTCTTCCCCCCTCTCCCTGCAGGACTGGTCCATGAACCTCACACATGATTCTTACCCCAAAGACTCGGGATATCCATTACTGAGCAGGCAGCCCATGCCGCGTCCACCTTCTCTAGGAGGTGGCTGAGGTTCTAAAACAAATGGTTTTCCTGATAAAGGCACCCAGAATAATGTTCATGTGCAATAACTTTGGTCTTTATTCTCCTCTGTTTTTTTTTTTTTGTTTTGTTTTGTTTTGTTTTTTGGTAACAAAGATGCTTAACACAACTAAGCACAACCCCCCCCCAGCCATTTTTAATATTTTATTTAGAGACAAGGCTTCTCTGAGTTGCTTAGGGCCTTGCTAAGTTGCTAAGGTTGTCTTTGAACTCATGATCCTCCTCAGCCGGGAGAGTTGCTGGGATTACAGGCATGTGCCACCGTGTCTAGCTCCTCTCCTTTTCTGATACTTTAAAAAAATAAAATGAAATGAAATAAAATAAAACGGGCTGGTATGTGGCTCAGTAGTAAAGTGCTTGCTTAGCATGTGTGAGATAAATAAATAAATAAAATAAAACAAAACACTCAGATAGGCATACCCGTAATCCCAGCTACTCAGGAGCCTGTGAGGCAGAAGAATCACAGGTTCAAGGCCAGCCTGGGCAATCTAGAGAAACCCTGTCTCAAAATAATAATGAAAAAAGAAGGCTGGGAATGTAGCTCAGTGGGAGAGTGCCCCTGGGTTCAAATCTCAGTATCAACAAGGCAAAAAAAACCAAACAATCATAAAACCTCAGTGCTCTGTGGCTTGCAATCACGCAGTTCCCAGTACCCTTTAATAGATACCATTTTTTGAGTTCTTTTTTTTTAAAGGGTTGGGGGTGCAGGTGGTACTGCGGATTGCACTAGGCACGAGCTTTACCAATGTRCTGCACGTCAGCCCTTGTCAAGCACTTAGTACCTGCTAGGCCATGGCCTGTGTTCMTCTGCACCATGTCCTTGAATCCTCACTTTGTGCGGAGGTATTATCAGCCCCACCTGCAGAGGAAACAGGCTGCGGAGTAGGTGACTTGTCTGCAGTAACCGTCTCCCACCATGAGGGGGAGCCCTTCATTTCCTCTCACTCTGCCTGGCTGCCCATCATTTAGGAACCATCTTCCTGTGGATCTTCTGGCCTAGCTTCAACTCTGCACCCACTGCGCTGGGGGACACGCAGCATCGGACAGCCCTCAACACGTACTACTCCYTAACGGCCAGCACCCTCAGCACTTTTGCTTTGTCTGCCCTCATCAGTGGGGACGGGCGGCTGGACATGGTATGGGGAGAAGGCCTTGGGGGAGGCAGAGGGACAACCTACCAGGRGGAAGAGAGACTCTGCAGGGAAGTCTCCATGGAAACAAGCATAGGGGGGTCAGAATAGGAGACTATGAAAGCAGGAGAGTTAGAGGTTAGATGGCAGAGGGACTTCCAGAGCAGTAGATGTCTTGCGGAGGGGGTTGTGTTGAGTGTGGGTGGATAATTTGAAAGGGTCTCCAATGTCCTTCCTTCCCTGTTCCCTTAGGTCCACGTTCAGAATGCAGCACTGGCYGGAGGGGTTGTGGTGGGGACGTCTGGTGAAATGATGCTGACCCCCTTTGGGGCTCTGGCAGCTGGCTTCTTGGCAGGGACTGTCTCCACGCTGGGGTACAAGTTCTTAACGGTACAGCTGCCTCTCTGGCCTGGGCAGAGCATGGTGTCACTTTCCTCCCACCTCCCCAGCAGGCCCAGAGTGGAGGTGGGAGGGGACAGGAGTCTGATGATTTCTTCTGTCCTCCCTCAGCCCGTCCTGGAATCCAAACTCAAAATCCAAGACACATGTGGTGTCCACAACCTCCATGGAWTGCCGGGGGTCCTGGGGGCCCTTCTGGGGGTCCTGGTGGCTGGACTAGCCACCCATGATGCTTATGGAGATGGGTGAGTTTCCCCCAATCCACAGCTGACATTATCCCTC